TAAAATTTTATATATAATCATATCAATAATATTTTTACATATAAGTAATTATAATAATAAATCCCTTAGTATAAGCATACCTTCATATAACCACATTATTTCATAATCCCGAGGGATGTGATTATAAAGGAGATTGACTGTATATCAATTTATAAGTACAGGAAATGTTGAGGATATATAAATATAAATTGTAAATATGTATGAATACTTTGAATATGATGGAAGAGTAATAATGATGGATTGGGTTTTAGATCATGAGTTTAATAGATCAATGTTATAGGAATAATGTTTGGTTTATTAATAAAATATAAGTGGATCAGTACAATTCAATAAACTAAATAAACTCTTATTTACGAAATATAAAATTTACAATTAATTCTCTAATTATTAATTCTCTAATTAACAATATTAATTATTTTATATTAATATAAACATTATAAAAGACTTATTAAATATAAAAATACTTCCCTTTTTTACAATTAAATAAGAGAAGAAATCCTAAAAAAAAATGAGTTAATGTTAGTATTGTACTTATTATACTTATTTTTGGGGGGTTTTTTTTTGAACTTTTCTCTCTTTAAAAATTGGTCCTAAAAAGTTACTAAGTAATATATAAAAAATTATTTTTTTAAAATTCAATTTATAACTTAAATTAATATGTAAATTTGCTTTCAAATATGAAGGCAAAATCATTTAAGGATAGATTTACCGTATTTTCCGGATTTAGGACATCTTTACATACAAACTAAATGTTAATAACCTTTTCATCACTATTCAAATAATCCTTCATGATAGCTTCGCGTGATCGACTCAAAGTTGGTTGAACATTTTTATAGAGTTGTATTTGTAATGCTTGAGCGTTTTGAATAATAAACATAACTCACTTTCTGGAGATAAAATTGAAATAAGCTAGTTGTTATAAAGAAGTCTCAAAATAATTGGTATTCACTTTGTGTACGCATACAAACACTCTGTTGCTGATTCTTATGAGCTAACGAAGATAATAAATCGTTGCAAAAAAAGGCTATTTGTCCACATCATTTTATATGAATTATAGCGTGACAAGCCTTTTTGTCGAAGAAAGAATACGATTTGTCCAGGATCTGTACAATTTCTATATATACAGATATCAAAATTTATACTTCTTTCTAAATTCTAAAAATTCTCCTTTTCGTGTCAACGCATTATGGAGACGTTGACTATTAATCTTTTGTTCAGACTTATATTTATTCGTGATCTGTTTCTGTGTTCTTTGCATCACTGTCGCAATTCTACCAAAATCCAACCCCAAAAGTGCAATGCAATTATATAATTTTTCAGTATCTTGAGTGGACCAATGACGAGTAAATTTTTTAGGCACATTAGACCTCAATTGATTCGGCAAGTCGTCATACATGTCAAGCTCTACGACTTCCATCTCGTCGTATTCTACTGCTGCGATAGGATTTAATCTGTCTTTAAAAGACATATCTATTTGTTCGCTTCTTGGTATTTCGCTAATGTTTGTCCAAGGATCCGACCGTCTTATTCTTCTCTTCAATACAGGTCTGTCACAAGAAGCATCATTTATGTTGTCTTCTGCTGGTAATGGAGAAATAGTAGTTGAAACCATGACATCAATATCTTTATCAGCGCCAATAAAATCGCCCGCAGGGAGTGCTTCATCGCATTCCTTGATAGTAGAGCACGAATCACACACCGAAGGCGCTTTATCGTTTAACTCAAAGGCAAAATTGGAATCTTCAACAAAAACCGGCTCGACAGTAGGAGCTTTTTGATTTACCACGAGAGACTTTTCGAGAATAAGTGAAGTTTGTGCAGCGGTATCGTCATCAATGTCAGAATTATTTAATACATTCATCATCTCTTCTAAAAATTGAGCATGTTTTGTCAAATCCTCTGGCGGGATCTCCAAACCAAGACGTTTTAACTCCATCAAACGCACAAAGTCGAAGGCTGATTTGCAAATACTTTTTTCTCTTACACTTCTTTCAAAGTCATCGTTGTTGGCGTTGCTGCTAGACTCTTTTACTCTTTCACTTGACATTAAAACATCGAAGTTTTCGCGTGGTTGTATATTAAATGAAGATGAACTTGAGGTTTCAGGTGAGCAATTTCTAAGACCCCATTTGTAATCGAATGCCGTATCAAACATTTTAAATCCAGACATTCCAATATCATTGTCCGCCGAAAGATTCGCAGCTGATAACGAAATTTTTTTGGGAACAATTTCACCAGTTAGAGGTACCGGGCCGGGCTGATATTTATTTTCATAATAACTTGAATCAAAGTCGAGTCGTTTTTCAAATGCGATAGAAGGAAGAGATACAACGAACGATTTATCATGATGTGAGACAAAGTCATCAGTTCGTAGTCGTTTTACATGATGAGAATGTGTACTTGATTTGACTGTTTCAGTTGAATCGACTGGTGAAGTTTCAGTAGCATTTCCTTGCTCACTTGTTGATGTAACTAGAAGCCCGTTGGACAAAAAACTTTCTTCTTGTGCAGTTTCCTCGTTAACGCATACTACTGCTTCGGGCCCAGATGTAATCATTTGTACATCGGTATTTAATTGAGAAGAAATGGAAATCGCATTACCACGTTTCTTTGTTGAGCGAGGACGTAACAAAGTTCGATTCATTTTTGTTAGCTCCATGATTAGAAATAACAAACAAATCAAGTCATATGATCAAAGTTTGAGTTAGAATAAGTTCAATTAGATTTTAATGTTAATGAGGAATTGAATGAAACTGATTGTGAACTTGAAGAAAACGATCCGGAAATACAAAGGAGAATTTAAAAATATTGAATTAAAAAAATCTACAAATCTGATATTTTATTCTCCACAAATTTACATCAAACATTACATATCTACTAATATCTTACAAAATATTATCTAATGCATTCATTATTAACTTTAAAAAATGTTTCTAACGGAAACAGTTTTAACCAAAAAAAAGGTAAACTAGCTGTATATTTAACGGTTTTGATCCGGTCCGATCCGGTCCGGGTTTTCGATTATAGTTGCCGTTAATTATTCCAACTCTTAGATATTCGCCTTTACCAATAAATTTCATGCTTAAAATTATAATTAAAAAATTTATACTACGTCAACCATTATGTTTGAATGCTTTACACCCTGCGTACAAATAGAAATTTATTTACTTGAATATAATTAGACATATGAAATTAATAGATTTAATAGATTTAATGAATTCTAATTCTAATATCGTATATGATTTGAATATATATATATAATTAATACTTAAAAAAGAATAACGAATAAATACTCTTAAGATGATAAATAATTTTATGTTTTATTTAAAATTCTTTTTTTAAAAAACCAAAGATAGTTTATATATCTATTTACTTTTTGGTAATTTCTTTTTTTTAACTTGAGTAGAAACATTAAGATGATGTGGTGTGGTTCTTAATGGAATTGTGGTTGTTCTCGGTGTAGGTTTGCGTTGTTGTTGCGGCGGCTGCTGTTGTTGTGACTGCTGCTGTTGCCGCTGTTGTTGTTTTTCTTGTTTCTGAAGCAAAGCCATCTTAGCCTATAATAAGTTTAGTAAATTAGATGTTGGAAGTTAAAATTAAAAAATTTCAATTATTATACATACATTATGAACGGCATTTGAAGTAAGATCCTTTAACAAAAGTTCGGTTTCTTTTGTCTTTGGATGATCGGATCCGAACTAGATAAATGAATTGGTAAATGTATGATTTAAATACTGTATTTATTAATTGATGAAAGCTATCTAAATATAAGTCGTATGTTTCCTACCACTGCGTGGAAAATATTGTATGCCGATTTTTCAGCAATTAATGCTGCTTTAAAATCTTCAGAAAATGCCAAAGCTTTCGCTAATAAGTGATAACTATTGAAATTTAAGATTATAATTAGTAATTGGTATAATTAATACATAAGGATAATCACTTAATACAACTTACGATTCTCCTGTAACTACATTGTTTTTTCCAAAGATAATCTCATTTGTGCCTTTAGCACGTTCGAAAAATTTAACGCTGCCCGTAAAATCCCTCATATTTTGCAACATAATTCCAACATTTTGCTAAAACGTTAAAGAAAATTCAATATATAATATGATCATAAAAAATAATTTTAAATTAGTAATAAAGTTATTGTTTACATCAGCTGTTGCTCCGTCTGGATGTAATGGGCCATAAATGATTTCCCAATAATACATTGCATGTCTCATAAAACGAAGACCTAATTCTGTATTACCAACAGCATTTTCGAACAGACCAAGATGAAGCTTTGAAGTAGAATCAAAATGATAGAAAAATATTCGTTAAGTTTTGTAATTCTTATTCAAAAATAAATAAATTAATTAAATTAAATATATATGCGAATCTTACATAGCTATGAACTGCATCAACACTGTCAATACCACAAGTCCTTTCCAAGACAACAACCGCTTTTTTTTGAAAGTCTATGGCAATTTCTGTATCATCATGGTGATAAAAATATAAAGCTAATGCAGCATAACATTTTGCTGTTGCCGGATGAAGAAATCCATAACTCTGTTCATGTAATGCTAATGATTGCAACATCAGATCAACACCAAGTTCTCGATGACCTGAAATAAACGAAAGAAAAGATTAATAATTTGAAAGATAATATGATAAATTAATAATGTACCTCTTGCAATGCTTAGTTTTCCGGCTTCAAAAGTTTCTTCAGCAAATACACACTGAAAATATTGACATGATTTTCGATTAATCGCTATCACACAAATATTTTAAAATAAATTAGATATATTCATACCCTTGGATTTGCTTGTTTTACTGTGGGTATTAAATTCAAGACATCATCTGGCAAGAAAGTCGTAAGCCTTTTCTTGGATTTCTTTTTTACAAAATTATATCCTTGAGAAGCAATTTGTATGCCTACTCGTAAACATATCTCTCTTAAAAGCGGTAATTTACGTACATTCACGTTAATGAAATTATCAGGTAGATTATAACGAAATCGAATAAGTATTGTGTCGCGAATTTGTTGTAAAAGCGAGGAAGGGGTGAGATTTATATAAGCATAAGTAGGATTATCGATACCAATAGTAGTATCAGATACCATCGATTGAGGATTAGGATTATAATCGGCACCAAGCAAACAATTCAAAAAATGAGAAATACAATATGGGACATATGTTAATGGTAATTCACGAAGAAGGCCACGTAAAATACGTTTTGAAGCTCTTATAATCATCTCATGTATAACAAGATGCTGAAAATAAAGAATTAATAAATTTTAATTTACAAATTAATTACCACCAAAAAAATTAATTATCAAAAACCTACTTTTACATGGTCTAACTTTTTATCTTGTGATTCATCTATAATATTTGCGATCATACCTAAATAACGCATATTTATACCACGTCGATGCATTGTTGTTGTAAGTGAAGAACCGTCGACAGGAGTTACAGCTAACGTGGTAAATTCTATGATCTAAAAAGATAATAAATGGGTCAATTTTCAAGAATTATGCACATAAATAGTTGTGCTCCTGAGGTTGACAAGATAGCACATATGGTAGGCTGGTCATTCATCAAAGAGTCGCACCATAAATTGAATCATGAAAAATTAAACAAAGATTTTAAAGGATATTTTATAAAAGATTTCATCAATACTTACTAGCATTCGGATCACTGTATCTCGCAAATACTTAGATGCATCGCGCACGTTCTCTTCGTCTATTTTCTTAACTTCTTCATATTCTTCTTCCTCAGGCAATTTATAATTAGTGAATGCATCTGGATTTAATGCAAAATTAAAGTCTTCATTATCCAAAATGTTGGCTTCTATAGTAGAATCCTCCGATTCCTAATAATAAATAAATTAAAACCTAGGACTGATATATATTTTAATTATAGATTTATTAAATTACTCACCTTTTGCTTAGCTGATGATTTTTCTTGAAGCCATAGTCTCAATTTATGATCCCAAAAGGATTCCACCAATTCCGGTCTAAGAAGTGTCAACTTATGAGGATAACGAGGAAGATTACTTCCTTTAGTATCTTCTTTATCTTTATCTTCACATTCCTTTTCCAAAAATTCAATATCGATTGGGTTAAGACGATATAAATCAAACAAATATCTACGGCCATCGTCTCCCATTAAGCCCTATAATAAATAAAATATATAATATTTTTAAGAAAAAACTTATTTATAGTTATAAAAAAATAAAAAAAAAAGAGCACCTTAGTTTCAAGAGAAGTATAAAGTTTGACCGTGTTCCCTTTTGGATCAGAAACACTACAATGTTAGATATTTATTATTTATTATTATATATGTATCGATCGAAATAACATTTTATATAATGTATGTTGTAGCTGAAAATATCTATGATTCACAACGCACCAAGTAATAAAATTAAACAAATGAGATGAAATTTATAATTTTTTTTTGGCAGATTTGAAACATTCAATATTTATCATATCGATTCTGTCTCACCTGAGTTTAAATAACATAAGGTGACCCGATAAACGTCGAAATATTTCAGCTACAACATTATAAAAATTATCTTTCATTATACCTATGCTCGGCAAGATGTAAAGCTTTTGCAGCTTTTCCAACTATTTCATGAAACTCTGGATCAGAACATAACTTAGGTTCGTCTCGTCCATTGTCAAAGTATCCATAGACAATTGATGAATCATCTTGCCGTCGGAAAATTCCTTGAAAAGCAAAATAATATTAGAAAACAATTTTATGTATGAAGACTTTAAAGACGCTTTCAAACCTGGAACAATTGTTTGTGCGACAATTCTGATTCCCTTATAGTCTACTACAACGCAACCAAGTGTATATAGTCCCTCAATATCTGTTGTATTTACAGTCCGTATACCCTCCATATCTTTACCGGTTGCTACGTGTGCTGCATCATTTCCGCCAAGTTTTGCAAATGTACCTCTTGTATCAAAAGCCTTACTAAAAAAAATATTATTGTAAACATACATATGCTCCTCTTCAGGGTCACGAGGGTTAAAAGGAATTACATTGCCGTTTATAACAGCAATTGCTCCTTTAACTGCGTTTTCAGTAAAGTCGGCATGAATTTTATTAACGAGTCTTTCGCGTAAAACACGATCTTTTAATTCAACTCGAGGATATTCACGCTGAGATTGAAATTCGTCGTTCCAGTCACGGAGAGAATCGACAGCATCAGTACCTAAATTTAAATATACTTCGGTTGCACGACCCATATCATGAGTATGTTTAGATTGTCTTACAACCCAAGGATAAGCCGGAAAACATGTATTAAATGGAATGGTTTCAAAAGGATGATGCAAGGCAATAAAATCTTGTAAAGATTTAAAATTGACACGAAATGATGGAGATATTGCTTGAAGAAGGGAAACAAGTGAATGAGTATGATAGACTTTAAGATCTGAGCGTGGATTTGGATCAAAATTCTTCATAGTCGATTTGTTAACAAAAAATCCATTAATTGCTGATGTGATATGCAAGATTTCACCCTCTATGGTTGTGACAGTTAAGTACAGAAGGTCACCTGATTATAAATTATATTGAATACATTAATAATAAAGTATATTTATCCTTTTATGTTTCAAGAATATAGATAATTCGCACCTCTACGCCGACGCTCAAATGGCACAGGATTCCAACCGGATAGGTATAATGAATCTAAACATTTGATCAAACATCTACCAAAATTATTAGGAACAAACTTTGCCAATGAAGGTGCCGAGAAATCATAATCCATGAAAGGCGTTTTTTGGACTTCGGAATTTTCTTTAGCTTTTCCAGGTTGTTCATTCGTGGCCTTTTCTGCAAGGCGATTTAAGATAAGAAAGTAATGAGCGCAGGAAAAAACAGCTTCTGCTACACACCATTGATACCAGAAACAGCCGTGAAAAACGATAATCCAGGATCTATTCCAACAGACGAAGTATTTTGTTTAAATGGGCCGGATAGTAATTCTCTAACGTGTATAACATGAATACGAGCTTCACGCTCCGTATAGGGTTCTAATAATAACAGTAAATGGTTAATTGATAATAATGACGCTGAGCATTTTAACAAAATGATAATTGTACCTTCAATAAGATCTAATTCACAATCTTGAGTAATTTCTTCTTCTTGTAATTCTTTGTAATCGTCAAGGCGTTTGCCTTTATAACAGAGTGAGAAACAGGTATATATACATGTTTCTGGTGAATCGGTGAGCCAATGTTTAACTTCTTGTACAAGCTCACTTGCATTCGCCTAGATGCGACCTATTTTAGTATACAACATATCAAAAGATAACCTGACTTTAATACAAACTTACAAGAACTTGAGTTTTTCCAGGTAATTGAGATACATTAATCGTAAGTGTAAAATGAGGCTCTTCTGCTTCAACTACTGTATCCTCAACTACGTTTTCAACTAGCTCAGTTTCATTTACAGAATCTTTAATATTAGAATCCATCGAAAATAAAATTTTCTATATAGGATAATACGATCTATTTTTTTTTTTTTTAAAAAAAAACAAAAAAATCTGATTTTTATGTAAAAAAAAAATTTTTTCCATCAAAAAAAATTTTTTTTTTTCACGATTATCTGCTGGAAAATGCCGAGATAAAATTACTGATCATTTCCTAAAATGGTTAATAAATTTAAAATATTCTTTAAAGTAGATTTTGAATGTAGATATTATTCTAACCCAAATAACATATAATTAGTTTATTATAATAATTTTTATTAGTTTTATTAATCATTATTAAATACTTTTATATTTTTTTAAGATTATAAATTATAAATTGATTTTTTATAGAATAAAGTAATAATTAATTGTTATATAAAATTAAAATAAATAATTAATTCTTTATGCTAAAAATAAAATATTGTAATTAAATATTATACAAGGTGAGCTATAATTTATTATAAAATATTAAAATAATTAAAAATTCAATATTAATTATTATATTATTTTATTATATTAACTTATTTTAAATACTTATATAAATTAAATTAGATTAATTTTTTAAGCAAAATGAGATTGGTTAAATTTTATTTATTAAATCTAAATTCTGATTTAAATTTGATTTATGATTTTTATATTTTATATGAAAAATAGAATAAAATATATAAATCCCAAAATTTTTAGTTTGTTTTAATGCTAAAAATTTATCATTGATAGAAGAAATGAATAATAAGAAAGAAAAATATTAAAACTATTTAAGAGATTATTATGATTTAAGATTTAATTTATAAAAAAGAATAGGTTTTTATTTATATTAATATTCTTTGAAAATAAGAAGATAATTATTAAAAATGATTAATAAAATGTGTAATATAGAATGTGATCTAGAAAAATAACCTTCTGAGACTTAATAGATAATAAGTTTCAAAAGATTATTTTTCTAAATCACATTCTATATAATGATACATAAAACTGAAACCAATTTATTTTAAATATCTAAAATAGTCAAAATGAGTAAAATATTATAACTTTAAGAGATCAAAAAACTATTATATACATTTCCTCAGAATGGTATCAGTCTGCGTTATTCATCACTCAAATAAATTCTCTTTTTACTTTCTTTAGAAATATCTTACCTCTAGTAAAATTTCAAGAAAAGTAGTATTGCATAAGGAATCTCAATCATATTGATTTTTCACAAATATAACAACCCGCTCAATAATACTTTTCAGCTCATTTTGAGATATTCAGGGATTGTCTTCGATTTTTTGATAGATAACAGACCTAGCGATAATATTCTCTTCCTCAGCATTTAACAAGAAATTGTAAATTTTAGTGTATAAATCGGCAGGCATGGTAAAAATAAAAGAAGTTATAATAGTCATCACTCTAATATACTATCCTTTAAATGACTCTATTTACGTTCTCTTTGGGCTTGTATTTATATTAGGGAGAAGAGACAGGAGAATATGTAACAAACTTATGCCAAAATTTTGCATTAAAGAATAGGAATATGTGAAAATATGCATTAAAGAACTTGATATTTAGAAAAGCATTAGAGGTAATGCATATGGGTAGTGTACTATTAAAATTGAGATACGGATCATATGATTTACTATGTCTCGTACCTCAATATTAATAGCATACCACCCATATATAGATTTTTTCGTCTTTCAGATTAGGATAGATTATCTCCTGCAGGTCAATGATTGAAGAAGTGAGAAAAAATTCGAAATATTATTTTGTTGCATAAGCAGATAATCGCACTTGCATAGATGATTGGTAGAATATTACTATTTCGTCATATATATTTTAACGAGAATTGAAAATATGCTTTACCTTTTAATGGCTGTCATACAATATCTATATGCATTAGCTGTAAGACACAAGCAAATATGAAGCTAATATAATACATTCTCATATATAGAACTATTTTTTATTTATGTATCACTTTGATCATATTTTAAAAAATCTATAAATGGTTTCTTTCCTGCTATGTTTATAAAATAATATTAGATATAATATAGGAATCATTTTGAGCTGGCTCAGGCACTCTCAAGATGCTTTATCTCTATATCACCAATTATTGTTAGGCGGGATATTAATATGTAAATCAAGTTATGCTAACATTTTCATTCTGACTACTAATATACTAACTGGTAAAGCTCCGCATAAGCTGAGCCAACTCGCGAGCCAGCTTGTGAGGCTCGCGAAAGCTTAGCTCGAGTCACTATAAAATGGCTTGCGAGCTGATTAAGCTAGCTCATGCCGTGACTCAGCTCGTAATGCATCTCGGCTCATCAGTTTGGATTTTTTATTTTTGAAAAAAACAATTCAGGAGTATTAACTTCGAAGAAAAACGCTTTCAGCAATGATTTTTTTGAAGTTAATGATTCTGGAAATGATTCTTCAAAGTTAAACGATTCTGGCAATAATTTCTTCGAAAAAAAAATGATTTGGTAATATTTTCTTCGAAGAATAACACTTCGGGAGCATTATTTTTAATTTATAATGCTTCAGGAGCGTTACATTTAACAAAAATGCTTCTGGAGTATTATTTTTAAATTATAACGCTTCTGGAGCGTTTCTTTTAAATAATAACACTTCTGGAGCATTATTTTTAATTAATAACGCTTTCAGAGCGTTTCTTTTAAATAAAAACACTTCTGAACGTTAAATTTAAAAAAATAATGCTTCTGGAGCGTTACTTTTAATAAAATGCTTCTAGAGTGTTATTTTTAAAGGAATAGCCTATGTGGCTTTTCTATTAAAAAGAAATGTTTTCGGAGGCGTTTCTTTGAAGGGAATCATTCCCAGAGGCGTTTCCTTGAAGGGAATCATTTCCGGAGGCATTTCCTTGAAGGTATTGCTTCTGTGGCTTTTCCCTTAAAGGGTATTGCTTCTGTGGCTTTTCCTTTGATGAGAATCATTCCCAGAGGCGTTTCCTTGAAGGGAATCGTTGCTGGAGTTATTTTTTTGAAAAATTGCTTCTGTGGCTTTTCTTAAAAGGGAAAAGGCCTCTGTGGCTTTCTCTTTAAAGGAAAGCACTCAATTTTTTTAAATGACATTTTTAATATTAAGGTTTATGAAATT